CCTGATTGCTGCTTCCATTGGCATCAATTGTAGAACCAAGCAATGTGAACTCTTTGACAACTTCAATCTTTTCTCCATTTATCATGATGCTGCTTATAGGTCCAGTTGTGAGGATTTTTGTTTTCTTTATATTGAGGTGTAATCCATACTGCAGACTATTCTTCAATCTTCATCAGTAAGTGCCTCAAGTCATCCTCATTTTCAGCAAGCAAAGTTGTGTGGTCAGAATATCGCAGGTTGTTAATAATTCTTTCTTCAATCTTGATGCCACATTCTTCTTCATATAGTCCAGCTTCTCGGATTATTTGCCTGGCATACAGATTGAATAAGTATGGGGAAAGGATACAACCCCGACGCACTCCCTTGCTGATTTTAAACCATGCAGTGCCCCCTTGTTCTGTTTGAACAACAGCCTCCTGGTCAATGTACAGGTTCCTCATGATCACAATCAAGTGTTCTGGAATTTCCATTCTTCTCAATGTCATCCACAATTTGTTATGATCTACACAATCAAATGCCTTTACATAGTCAATAAAACACAAGAAAACATCTTTCTGGTATTCTTTGCTTTGAGCCAGGATCCATCTAACAGCAGCTATGATATCCCTTGTTCCACATCCTCTTCTGAATCCAGCTTGCACCTCTGGAAGTTCTCTGTCAATATACAGCTGCAACCCTTTTTGAATTATCTTCATTAATATCTCATTTGTGTGCAATATTAATGATATTGTTTGATAAGTTCCACATTCTGTGGGATCACCTTTCTTTGGAATGGGTACAAATATGGATCTCTTCCAGTCAATTGGCCAGGTAGCTGTTTTCCAAATCTCTTGGCATAACCGAATGAGTGCCTCCAGTGGGGCATCTGTTTGTTGAAACATCTCAATGGGTATTCCATCAATTTCTGGATCCTTGTTCTTTGCCAATTCTTTCATTGCAGCTTTGACTTCCTCCCTCAGTACCATTGGTTCTAGATCATATGCCACCTCCTGAAATGGATGAAGATCGACCACTTCTTTTTGGTACAGTGCCTCTGTGTATTCCTTCCATCTTCTTTTGATGTTTCCTGTATCATTCAATGGTTTGCCCTTAGAATCTTTCAGTATTGTAACTCGAGGCTTAAATTTTTCCTCAGTTCTTTCACCTTGAGAAAGCTGAGTGTGTTCTTCCCTTTTGGTTTTCTAACCCCAAGTCTTTGCACATTTCATTATAGTAATTGGCTTTGTTTGCTCGAGCTGCACTTTGAAATCTTCTGTTCAGCTCCTTTATCTTGTCATTTGCTTTAGCTCATTTCCATTCAAGGGCATGTTTCAGAGTCTCTTCTGTCATCCATTTTGGTCTTTTCTTCTTCTTCTTTTCTTGGCTTTTTAGTGACATCTTGCTTTCTTCATGGATGATGTTCTTGATGTCATCCCACAATTCTTCTGGTTTTTGGTCACTGGTGTTCAATGCATCAGATCTATTCTTTAGATGGTCTCTAAGTTCAGGAGGGATATATTCAAGATAATGTTTGGCTCTCATGGACTTTTTGTTTTAACTGTCTTTAACTTCAAGTTGAACTTTCATATGAGCAGTTTATGGTTCCACAATCAGCTCCTAGCCTGGTTTTGGCTGAAGATATTGAGGTTTTCCATCGCCTCTTACCATAGATGTAGTCAATCTGATTCCTGTGTGTTGCATCTGGCAAAGTCCACGCATATAGCCACCGTTGTGTTGTTGAAAAAAGGTATTTGCAATGAATAAGTTGTTGGTCTTGCAAAATTCTATCATACGAGTTCCAGCATCATTTCTGTCACCAAGGCCAAATTTTTCAACCACCTGTGATTCTTCTTTGTTTCCAACTTTTGCATTCCAGTCACCAGTGATAATTAACACATCCTGACTGCATGTTCGGTCAATTTCAGACTGCAGAAGCTGATAAAAATCTTCAATTTCCTCATCTTTGGCTTTGGTAGTTGGTGCATAAATTTGAATAATAGTTGTATTAACTGGTCTTCTTTGTAGGCATATGGGTATTATCCTATCACTGACAGCACTGTACTTCAGGACAGATCTTGAAACACCCTTTGTGAAGATGAACACCATGACATTCCTCTTCAAATTGGCATTCCTGGCATAGTAGACCACATGGTGGTCTGATTCAAAATGGCCAAAACCAGTCCATTCTTAAATATTTGAATTTTTCTTAAGTTAGACTCTCACAAGACCCTCACAAGTGGAATGTCTAAGACCTTTCATGGTTCTACATATCAATTATCAAATTAATTTCCTAAAGATTCCTAAAGAAAGAGTTCTACTCATTGTTATGCCACCAGTTATACATGAGAGAAAACACTCTATGATCCTTCAGTCTGGGATAAGAATAAGCCTCAGGTTAAACTGGTTCTTGAGTCTAAACTATTTCACATAAAGCAATCATATAGAACCTTCAGAAGTTATCTAATCTAACCTCCTGTCCTCCTTTTAGTGTTCTATCATGATTGCTTGTTGAGTTATCTGTCTCACTCAAGATAGTAAATGCCATCAATGCAGTGTTTGATCTGCCTTATGAAACATCCTCAATTTATAATTCACTGTTGCACACTGTAGGTCCTCTTTATTTCTGAATCAACCCAGAACCATCAATTTTGGTATTGTGAAATGAACACTGGAATAAGAATCGAGAAATGAAGACTGACGTTTCAGACTTGCCCTAGGTAGCTGTGACACAATTGTTCTGTTGCTCAGTTTCTTAATTTGGAAAATTAGATGTTTGACTATATGTTTTCTCAGTTCTCGTTTAATGTTAAAACTCTATATGAGTTTTAACCCCAATGTTTTTATTTTATATCACCAAAATATTTAAAATACACACAATGTACACCTTCAAATTCTTGAAGTTTTAAGGAAGAGCGGTGTGTCAGAGAAGTGCTTCCAGATTTGCATCCTCTATGGTATCTTTTACTGGCAAATCCTAGTTTGTCATTTTCTCTTTGTAATGTGTGACACTTACAACAACAAAAGACTCTAGTTATTGTCTCTCCAGGGCAGAATATAATAGGGCTTTTGTGGGGAAGCGATTAAACTCTCACTAATGCAGTTCAATGTTTCGTAGAGATTTTAGCAATCATTGTATCTGTTAGTTGGAATTACATCTTTAATCATTGTAACTCTCAGGCCTTTTATTTGTAAGTCTTGCAGCCTTTACAGATTTAATATGAGCCCCTGAATCAGGAGATATATGGAGGTAGGGGGTATATAGAGGTAGCAGTAAAGATCTTACCATTCTTCATAAGATAGAATTTTACCACCTTCCTCTCAAGATAGCAAGAAACTGGGATAGAGGGAGAAAAAGACTTGCCTCCAGGACAGGAAGACCCCGGGGAGGAATGTCAAAGTGCTAAAATGTAACCACCACACAGACACAACATTGGTTTCTCCACATTGGTTCACCACAGCAACTGGGGCACCAAGAACACTGCTTGGGGAAAAGAAGCACGCTAAAAATATTTATTGAGTGAACAAATTGGGAAAAGACCAGAGGGCCTTTTCCATCCTAAACCCCCTTACTAATTACCACCTTAAACTTTTTACTGAAATCTTGTCCTAGTGATGAGGGACAGACCCAGGCAGCCTTTAGGCAGCTCCGAGTTTGGTACAGATCGTACTCCTCGTGACAAGCGAGTCCTTAGAAAACAAGATGATGTTATATCACTGGGTTCATGTTCAGTATTTGTCTGATTGTGAATAGACCTATTAAAGTTGAAGCTATATGACCAAAAACAACTTAAACATTTCTTTTCCAAAATCAGAACTCAGAGAAACAAGTTACATAGATAGTTTATTTTTAACAGATGTGGTGTAGTAAATTAGTTAGTGTGGCTTTTTTACCCATAAGTCTTTGTAAACTCCAAGGTGGGAATTGCTATTAGCAACTGAGGAGATCCTGATTGCCAAAGTCGCCCACATGGGTTATTTCTGTTGGGCGTGGCACAATACAATGTTCTGGGAGGTTCCCACTCTCTCTCACACGCTTAGAGTTCTGATGCTATGATTGGCTAGTTTGGCCACCCTGCCGGGCTCAAAAGGAGGCCTCCTAGAGGCAGAACTCTCTCTGACTGCTGGCTGAGGAAGACGTGCTGCCGAAAGAGACATGCGCTCCTGAAAGAAACACCTGCTGCTGGGAAAGAAACGCAAGAGACATACATTGCTGAGTGAGACACCTAGGGAACAGCACTGCTGGGAAAAAGACTGTGAGAGACTGTTGGCCGAGGGACGGTGGGCTTGGAGAGAGACTGAGCATTTTTCCTGAACTAGAATTGTAGCCTGTGGTGCTTCCCTAATAAACCCCATAATCTGTGAGCTCTATGTGGCCACTGAAGCGAATTATCAAACCCAGGAGAGAGGTGGTGCGTGCTTTGGGAGGAACGGTTGGTGAAAGGGCTGGAGGGAGGCAGCATGTCTGGCCTTGCAGTAATAGGCCTTGGGTTACTGCTGGTAATCTTGTCTTCCTCTTGTGGGATTAAAGGAGGTCAGAACATGTGGCCTCCCTGCCCTTTTTGCAACAGAATTTAGGTATTTTATAGAGATTTCTTGTTGAGTTATGTCTCTCATTCAAGATAGTAAACTCCATCAATGCTGAATTATCTACCTATATCTTACAAATGTAGGATGTAGGCAGAGTCAAGCTTTTTTTCCTACTCTCATTTCCTTTCCACCGACTCCAATGCTTTTTCTTAAAATAAATGGGAAAATGAGCTCAGGAAGTGCACATACCAGCCTAAACCATTTCCTGCCCTAGATAGCCCTTCTAAGAAAGGAATGACCTCCATGTTCTATAATCTTGACAAACTAAGGTGGCTCAGATGCCTAGAAACTTTCATGAGTCCTCTCAAACACACAACTCTCAGAAGTTACGTCTCTATCATAATCCTATATAGATAAACCAAATATTGTTAAAGATTAAAATGACAAAAAAGGAAACCCATAACCACCTTCTTTCAATCACATCCATACCTTACCTAAGTAAGAAGCAAGAGGTTCATTCTTTTTAGTAGACTTGACATTAAAGGTCATGTTTTCAGGGATGATGATTTGATCAGCCTTCTGCATGACAACTGTCCCATTCCAATCATAGGCTCCTACTGCTCCAAGCATAACCCAATCCTTATATTCAAATGGAGAAAACAACCATATGTAATAAAAATAGTAAAAGCAAGCACTGTTATGCTATTAACTATATATTAGGTACTGTTCAAAGTGCATTCCATATATTAACTCATATAATCCTCACAATGACCCTATGGAATAGATTTCATTGCTATCACCCTCATTTTAAAAAAGAGAAATGTTCTAGGCTTTATCATTATTAGTACACTTACCAATGAAATATCAATATTCCTTTGCAGGGACCATGATACCTTTTCTTCCAGCAACTACTTTTTTTTTCTTTTCAAAAATTTTATTGTTCTTTGAATGCAAATTTACAAAGCAAATTTGTTTTACATTCAACAGTTGATGCACGTTTGATTTCATGCCCCGATTACTATCCCCGACCATAAAAAAAAAAACTCTCTTCCCCTCCCCTCCCTGTGCCCTTCTTAACTATGCATTTCTGTCTGTCCAGCCTTCCCTCTATGTGCATGCTGCCCCTCTGATGTCTCATGGCTGATTGTTCTAAGGGGTGCGTCTCCCTAGAGTAGGTGGGTGCATTGCCCTGGGATAGGTGTTCTGCACGTAGGTCTTCCTACTGTTGGGCTGAGAGCCAATCCATGGGAGTGAGTCCATTTCTAGGCCCAAAGTGTAATCCAGGGCCATAGTCTTGGGGGTTCCACCAGATTTTATCCAACCAGTAATTCTGGTCATTTTTGTGTTTTTGAATTTCGTTCCACATTTTTCCTCCCACTCTATCTATCCAAGATCTCCAGTTTTGATCCCCTTCAGAGCGGTTGGCATTGGTAGCCAGGCACCATCTAGTTCTTCTGGTCTCAGGTTCATGAAGGCTGAGGTCCTAATGGTCCATCTTATCCTTGGACTAATTATCTCCAGATGTCTTTGATTTGCTTCACTCTTCTTTGATTCAGGTGAGAGGAGACCAATAGTTGCATCTCAGATGGCTGCTCAAAAGCTTTAAGACCCCAGTTGCTACTCACCAAAGCAGGATGTAGAACAGGATTTTTGTGTACTGTGTTGTGCCAGTTGAGCATGATGTCTGCCGAGACTGTGGTTCCAAGTCCGCAGGCCCACCCAGTGATTCTCTCTCTCAAGGTGTTTGGTTGTCTCTGAGAAGTTACTCCAACTCTGTCCTCTGTTGCTTCTGTAATGTATGCGGCTAATTTTGTAGCACAAGTACATATGTAAGATTATCTTCAGCCGAATCTATCTTTGGTCTAGGGTATATTCCTCTTTGCCTACCCTGACCTGATCTTCACCATCAACTACTTCTTATTGTTGTTAGTTGCCAGCTCATGGAAATGCCATGTGTGCTGAGCAGAGCTTCTCCAAGGGTTTTCAAAGCTATGACTTTTCAGAAGCAGATCACCAGCCTGTCTTCTGAAACACCTCTGGGTGGGTTCCAACCACCAACCTTTTGGCTGGTAGTGGAGCACTTAATCATTTCTGCCACACAGCTGCCCTATCAATTACACATGATAAATTTTCTTATCTTGCCTTCTGTCTTTATTCCAGATGCCAAGAATCCTGGGTCGTGTTTATCCATGACATAGATTTTAGCAGGGCCCTTGAATACCTCGTCACTGAAAAATGATAATTTCACATCCTTAGTAAATATTTTAAATCAAATATTTCATTAGGCCAGAGAAAATGAAGCCTTCAAACAGATTCACAATTTTTTGTATATAATATGGTGAGCTGTGTGAGATAGCATGTTCTCCTAACAAGAAACTTTTGAACTGTTATTTTCTTATTTGGATTAGAAAACATCCTCATGGGCTGAAATCATGAACTGCAGGTTGCACTTGCAATACTGACACCTGGTTGTTAGTTCTAGGAGAGAAAACCTAGCCAAAAGTCATTTCATTTTCTACCAACTGGCCAACATACCTGTGAATAATGAGCACTGAAGCCAGTCTGAGACATTTCCATTTCGAATGAAGCTGCTGACTGATCAGCTGTCGCTATAAAATAGGAAAACAATCATCATAAGCAACAAGCAATGCCTTCTAGCACACTGCTGACTTCCAACAGACAGAGACTTGGTTTAGTGGATGGTCTTTAGCCATCAGAACTTCTAAGATATTTAGGGCCCTCATTTCTCAATCCCAAATCCCTGTGTAGGGCTGGGTACAGGTCCAAGGAGGTTAGTGGAAGGGCTCATGCATCTCACTCCACCTGTCTCAGAATTGGGCTTGTCATCTTCCCCATGCTTGCTGGAGGAACTGAGAAATCCCCATTCTACTCTGTGACACACAGGGTTGCCATGATATTGTTCTTGCATTTTATAGCAGGCTTGTAGATCCCATGGTGCTTCAGATCCAGGGATTATAGTTGAAATGTAGTATGAAGCTTCCATCTCATCCCTATACCCTTGGAATTCTGCTGCAACCTTACATTAAACTTACCTGGTATGTTACAAGGCTGAATAAATTTCATCCACAAATTGAAAGAGATCTGTTGCCTCCCCCAAATCCACTCATATTTCAGGCCTACGATCCTCTTGGAATTCCATTATCTGATAAAGGGGTTAAAGACTCGAGTTTTATTTGCTCTAATTGCTGGCTGTGAGTATGATTCACAGATCAGAGGGGCCTTTTTGATAGGGGTCTAGGGCACATGTTATTCAATCATATATTTTTAAAAAAAATTCTACTCATTTTAAAACTGTTAATTAAAATGTAGAGATAATCCAAAGTATTCTACGGAAGTATGCTACTCTAAAATCATTTCAAAATATTTGTGAATGCAAAGCCACAAACTCATCAGGGGATTGAAGGAATGTTGATTTACTTGATTCCAGTAGGGTGTTACTGATTTATTTGGCTTTGCAGATAAGTTAAAAATAGTGCATAATTTTAAGAAAGTCAGTCTGCCATTTCACTGAGTCCTGGGAATTATAAAATTTGTGAAATTATATTATTTACTATGTTCCTGTTTGCCTAGCCCGACTTGATCTTCACCATCAACTACTTCTTATTGTTCTTAGTTGCCAACTCATGGGAATGCCATGTGTGCTGAGCAGAGCAAGTAGTGGGTAAGACATGTTGCTGCTAACCAGAAGGTTGCTGGTTCAAATCTACCAGCTGTTCCACTGGAGAAAGATGAGGAAATCTACTTCCATAAAAATCCATAGCCTTGGTAACCTAATGAGGGTTGCTATGAGTTGGAATTGACTCGATGGCAGTGGGTTTTGGGTGGTGCAAATAGTTTGCACTAGGCTACTAATGAAAAGATTGGCAGTTCGAACCCAGTCAGAGACACTGCAGAAGAGAGGCCTGGGGATCTGCTTCCATAAAGATTACAGGCAAGAAAACCCTATGGAGATCCATTCTACTCTATGACATATAGGGTTGCCATGAATCACAATCAATTTAGTAGCAGAGGGTTTTGTTTGTTAAAATAGACACTTTACTGATTACTTACTGACAAATACATCAATAATTATTTTTTATAGAATTAGATTAAATGGGACAATCAGTCAAGAATTCAAATGTATCATAATCACAGGTATGAATCGTCCTTTCACTTAAATCACCAAGGCGCACCTTAATTTAAGCATTTATAAGTCTGCAATGCTTTAAGGTGCTTTCTCATTTCTTGCAAGGTCAGTAATAAGAATGCAAGAGCAGCAGCCACCCAGAATCGACAAGAACCACCTCTTCTACTCAGATGAGGAGCTATGTGTTTCCAATACCTTCCTCTACTGCTGTTCTACCTTCAGCTGGTAAAGAGGAGGGACCTGCGTGTTATTCTGCCTGCTGAATTAGCATCCTGGCAATAGCCTGTTCTATGTCCCTCAGCTTCTAGCTGTCAACTCCTCCCTGGAGTGCTCCTGGCTGTTGAGAGAATGGCTCTCAGCACTGTGCAGCCTCTGGTTCTTGGCTGGAATCTTTGTTTCTCAGCTGCTAACTGTGTAGCCTGAGAAGGCAGGCTTGATGATTCACTTTCAAAAATGAAAAAGAAACAGCCATTGAAAACCCTGCCCTGTAGAGCACAGTCCTATCTTTACACACATATGGTCACCACGAGTTGGAATCAAGTCCATAGCAACTGGCTTTTACCATCAAAAGAAATATAGTAATAGGAAATGGAGATTTCCCAACTAATAATGAAATGAAACGTTTCCTAATTCTGAAAAAAGTCAGAAATAATCTAGTCAAATGTTTTTCTTGGTTCACCCTGAGAGTGTAGCAACAAAGATGCAGGAGACATTTTTCAACAGTGGAATTGTTTTTTATTAAAAAAAAAAAAATTATTTTTAAACATAGAGACTTCTTGGGAGTGTCTGGGCACTTCCATGTGTGAGGTTTAAGGGATGGTAGGGTTAGGCTAGAAACAATGTAGACAGATTGCTACCCTGTTCCCCCAGAGCTGATGTGGGGTTCATTTCTTCCAGCATTACAGTATATTTACTTGCCCACTTGAAATTTAGAAGTGAGATTTATTGTATATAACTAGCTAACGTAACAAAGTTTTTTTTTTTTTTTTTTTCCTTTTGAATGATCTTCACAGATTGTTTCTACCATATTTTGGCACAGGTTACTAAAAAGTTAAAAGTGCATCATGTTTTGGAAGACCTTATATATTTTCCTTAAAGCCAGCCAAGCTCATTATCTGGTAAACTAGCGAGAGACGAAAGCCACTTAAAAGTGACTTGTACACAGATCACAGAATAGCTGAGTTCTTCAGAAGCAGCTGCGACTTCACAGAGATCAACAACTTGAGTGCTCTGTTTCTGAAGGCAGAGGGAAAAGCAGCCAGGGAAAATGGGAGCCAAGGAACTGAGTGTGGCTGGTTCTGTGGCTCCTCCTCATCTCTAAATCAAGCTTTCTATTTACCAGGTGCGACGCAGTCATAAAGTCAATAGACAGAGTCATACCCAGCACTTTTTAATTGAAAGTGAATAAAGTAGAATAGAAGATGTGAGAAACTATCAGAGTGCATTGCATTTACCAACTGAAAACCAAACCTGCTGCTGCGCAGTTGATTCCAGCTCACGGAGACCCCATGTGTTACAGAGCACAACTGCTTCATAGGTGTCTCTCGGCTGTCACCTTAACAGAAGCAGATTGCCAAGCTTCTCCTCCACAGTGCCTCTGGGAGGGTTTGAACTATCAACATTTAGCTTGTAGTCCAGTGCAAACCATGCCGCCAGGGAGCTTCATTGCATATAATAAAGGTATTTCATAAAAATTTCATTTCATTTTCAGATGTGTACATATATATGTGTATGTGTGTGTGTGCGTGCATGCATGCATGCACGCACTCGGTTGCAAAGCAAAATATATTTCTTATCATGGATCATTGCCAAAAAAGTTTGAAAGCTGCTGTTCTAAATTATTTTTTCATTTCTGTACTTTACCTTTTAATACTCTATGTCTGTTAGCCACTTTCCTGTATTTCCCTGGCAACTCAATCAAAAGGATGTATCTTTTTTCCAGCTTTGTCTCTTTCCCATTTTATTTCTTTGTTTCCTGATAACTAAGGTGTGGCTAACCCTAGCCATAGTACTTTCAATTGCTTCACATGCATGGGAGAGCTGGAAAACAAATAAGGAAGACCAAGGAAGAGTTGATGCTTTTGAGTTGTGGTGCTGGTGAAGACTAAGTACCATGGACTGCTAAAAGAACTAACAAATCTGTCCTGGAAGAAGTGTAGCTGGAATGCTCCTTGGAAACAAGAATGGCCAGACTTCATCTCACCTACTTTGATCATGTTGTCAGAAGGGACCACTCTCTGGAGAAGGATATCATGCTTCATAAAGCACAGGGTCAAAAAGGGGAAAGGCCCTCAAGGAGATGGATTGACACAGTGGCTGCAATGATGGGCTCAAGTATGGCAAGGATTGTGAGGCTGAAACAGGCCTGGGCAGTGTTTCGTTCTGTTATACATAAGGTCGCTATGAGTCAGAGATGACTTGACAGCACCTAACAACAACAACAACAGGTCAGATCAGGAGACTGAGAAGGAGCTTTTACATTGCTAGGATGCAAAATCACCATCCTTCAGCATGTCCACGCAAGGAGGGAAATAGATTCAGATGGAGCAAAAGGACAGTAGATCCCTCTGGCTGTTTCTGCCTATATGATGAGAAAAGGCAAGCGTTCTGTGAGAGTCCAGATGTTGAAGAATGTAAAATGGCTTTGCACATTCGCCTGGCATGACAGTCCCAAAAGGTTTTTGTCAGGAAAGGCCTAATTCCAAAGTCATTTGTAACTTGGCATCCCTACTTAAGGAAAAGGAAGAACACTATGTCTCATTATGTTGAATAACAAGTTGCCATTGAAAATCAAAGAAAAAAAAATCTACAAAGAAGTTGCACAATTTTGAATAATATAGCAAACTGGAATTTCACTGCCATGGGACTTGAAGCAGAGTTCCAGGAAGACTTTTAAATTTGAGAAGGATCAAAATTTGGAGAAAATAAATGGACAAAGAAGTTATTTCATAAGTACATTCTCATAGTGCCCAAGAAAGGAATAAACAAACATAAATAAATAAACAAAACTAGGCACAAGAGGTAGCATCATCATATTCTAAACTTGGGTCACAGAAAAGGAATAAAAGACACGGGAATATTTTTGTTCTCACATGTGTACATTGCCCACTGTCAGCTCACACATTAGCACTGCTGTTCCCACACAAGGAGAGCTTCCAGTGAGCGCAGTGCTGTGTGAAATAGCCATCTCCATGACAGATTTATATAAAAGGCCATTGTTCCATGCTGGCTATGGTTCACTGTAAAAATGCATTAGTGATGTGGTCATAATAAATACTGCAAACCCATTACACTGAGTCTGAGTTATAGAGAGAACACACAGGATAAAGAGAAATAGTCATACCTTCCAGGGCAAATATTCTTTCTCCCAGAGCTTCAACAATAGTGACTAGAGCCGTTTCATCAGACACATTGAAGAAATGCTTTTCAGTGGGCTCACTTGCAATTGATTTCATTTCCTCCACAAATTTCTCGGTACTTAAATTTCCTCGGTTATAGCTGCCAAGAATCTGAGACACAGCAAAAACGGCAAGGATATGTTTTAAATTCTGGTGTTAAATAAGGACTTCAGTCAAATAAAAGCATATATAGTACCTTAGCATGATGCAATTCTTATTACTCCCACAATCTTGAAAGAACAAACAACACTGAGAATATATAGACTCCCTAGTACTAACTGTGGCATAAACACTGCAATAGTTGGAGGAAAATATAAAGGGCGATTTTGTAGGTGTGCAAAAATTTGTTCTCCTGCATTCTTGAATCCATGTTATTAAGAGCTGTACCAGTAAATTCTGACTGTTCAAAAGTAACATTATGGTTTCTGGATGTCTCTGATATTATTCCAGCCAGTGACATCACCATCTGTTAGCAGAAGCAGTTAGAAAGTGAGTTGCTTAATCTTGAAAGGGTAGTTTCTCCAGAAAACTTTACCAATGGGCAGTCCAAGACATACATTTTTTACACAGGTATTGAACTGAATAGTACTTAATGGGTAATCTAGAAAAAAAAAATGGGGCATTCCTGTTTGAAAACAAATGCTAAAGACAGGAACATTCCTTTTTATAGAAAAGAAACTTAGGAACTATCTGTTGTAGTTAACTGTAGTTATTTAGATATCTAAGGAGGCTTCTCAAACATTTGTTTTTTTTTCATGTAAAGCTTTGGAGCTATGATATATATACAGCAAGTTCATCCTTTTTTATGAATTTGGACAAACTTAGACAATCCTGCTGCTACCACTACAATCAAGATGTATATACGAGGCATGTAGAAAGCTGTCTGTAAGGTCATGTGCACACTATTTGGAAAGCTTTTTTGATTTTTGAACTTAACGTCTAGTAGGATGTTCAGACTTTAGGTAGAAAGCTGTGTATGAGGACTATAAAAATCCCAGCAGAGTAAAAAGAAATCAATTTCTGGTCACTTCTCTGAAAAGCAAATGTCAAATATCAAATGCTCTTTGACATCTCAATAGAGGTCACTGTCACTTTGCCCACTTTTGCTAAGTGTTGAGAAGAAGAGAATGAATTAAAAAGATATGAGGATTATGCTGACAGGAAGGGGAAACCCAAGGGCCACTTGCTCCTATTATATTTAACAAATACTCTGTCACATTTAAAAATAACAATTAAGATGCTCTTCTTTCACTGGGATATCTCATTCCAAATGGAATGTTCACATTAAGAGTAAACATGGAAAAAACAGAAGAGTGAGATTCTAAGCACCAGGGCTTCCTCAGTCCTTCACTCTCCACTTGGGGTTCTTCTCTGAACAACCTGCCAGGCTCTTATTTTGTCAGCATTTTTATACATATGGATTTCTATTAGATTACCACCAATTCTCCATCCAAGTGAGCCCCTAATTTATTTGATAGATTATAAGACATCCTGGGCTAAAAAATCATCTTTTCTCTCGGTTCCTACTTAGTATATTCTAGATTTACTATCAGGTTGACATATTAATGTCTATTTTATTTATAAATTGATACAGTTGAAAATCCACAAAAGGAAACATTGTAAAGACTTTGGACCATGCATGATTGTTAGTTATGACGTGAATATTTTCATACACTCAGTGGTATGAGTAACAGGCCAAATGGGTAAAGCTCAGTAGGGAAAATGCCCAAGTGACATATTTAAAGACTAAAAATAAAATGTATAAATATAAAATAGGAGTTGTTGCTAGATGCCATCAAGTTGATGCTGACTCATTGGGACCCCATGTGTTACAGACTACAACTGCTTCATAGGGTTCTCTTGGCTGTAATTTTTATGGAAGCATATCACCAGGCCTTTTTTCTTCAGTGCTACTGCTGGGTGGGTTTGAGTGCCCATACTTTGAGTTAGCAGTCAAGCACAAACCATTTGTGCTTCCTATATAGCTCTAAAACAAAACAGTTGTCATCAAGTTGATCCGACTCATGGTGATCCCTGTGTTGCAGACTAGAACTGCACCCTGTAGAGTTTTCAAAGGCTGTGATCTTGTTCTTCTTCTTCTCTTTTTTTTGGTTTACAATGACTACCATTTATTTAACACATACTTTATGTTGACCAAAGAAGCTCTGGTGTTGCAGTGGCTAAGGCATTTGGGTACAGTCAGCAATTCGGGCCCACTAACCACTCCATGGGAGACATGGGAGAAAGACAAGGCAGTCTGCTTCCATAAAGATTTATAGCTGCAGAAACCCAACAGGGTTGCTATCTCAGAATCGATCGACTTAATGGCAGAGAGTTTTGGATTTTGGTTTATACTGGACAGGAGATTCCATTTATATACAAATTTCGGTTATCATTACAAGACAATGCTGTCATAGATGAAGAAGTTGAATGTAAGTGAAGTTAAATGATAGAGAGTCATACAGCAAGCAAAAAGTAGAGCTAGAAATATTATCTTGGTCTCAGATTCCAAGGCCAGAGAGCTGTTACACACGATGCTGAGTGTAGGAGACCTGCTACTCAGCAATCCCACACTCAAAAATTGTATTTTCTACTTCTGTTGAATTTTTCAGAAAATATGTCTGAATAGATTAAATAAATAAATGAATAAATAAATAAATAAAGTGAGAAATGAAAACCAGATAGAAGCTAAAATACTTGGATTTGGATAGATATTATCCCTCAATCATAAATTGTCCTAAAGTATTTTTTGGGTTACTTCGTGCTGCTTTAACAGAAGATACCACAAATGTAGTGGCTTGAACAAACAGAAGTTCATTATTCTCTTACAGTTTTGGAGGCTAGAAGTCTGAGTTCAAAGTGCCAGGCTCTAGGGGCTGGGTGAAAGCCCCTTGACTTTGGGCATCAGCTGGGCCTCTTGCTCCCAGCCCAATGAAACTGGAGGCTTTCTTCACTTAGGCAACTGCTGGCTGCTGAGGCTGACAAACCCAACATTGACCAGTAGAAAGGCACAGTACTGATATCACCAAACCACATGGAAGAGTAGAAAGGCACAGTACTGATATCACCAAACCACATGGCAGGCCATTGATTCAAGTCCACCAAGAGTATCAAGACTGGCAGAGAACATGGCAGGTTGCAGAATAACGACTCAGCTACATGCAGTTTTCAAGCATGCCCAAAACTTGAACCCTTCCTCAAAGCTGCTTCTTATATACTAGGATCAGACCACATCCCTAAGGTAGCTACTCATCTGCTCCAGTAGATTACACCATGGAGTTGATTACCAATCATGGAGAATAACTATATCCAGCTGGCCAGCCACTTTAAACCAGGCCCAGCCAAGTTGACACATAACCTTAACCACCACAAGTATTTATTTCATTTTTGTCTAGGAGTAGTCTTGGACAATACCACCATTTGGAGAGTAGAAGGTCTATTTCTGAAGACATTGCTGCTCTCTCAAGTAGTACTAATATGTACCATGAAGTCCTGTATTATAGGATAGGGGTGGGAGTATCTATTAACTTACTACCCATAAATTGTAGCACAGTAAAATTATGTAAGCACCTGGAATATATGAACAGCCTAAAATAAATTGCATTAAATGCAGCCCATAATACCATGAAACCATAATTACTAGGAAGTACATTTTAGATAAAACATGCATGAACCTCCAATTAATTTTATTGAAACAGATCTACAGGTTATACAGGAGCTCTGGTGGCATAGAGTCTAAGGCATTTGCCTTCTAACCAGAAGCTTGGCAGTTCAAGCCCACCAGCGACTTCTCGGAAGGAAGACTGAGCGATCTACTTCCATAGAGACACCACCTTGGATACCCAAGGAGGGGTCACTCACTATGAGTCAGGTTCGACTCAATAGCAGTGAGAGAGTTTGCCTAAAAGTAGAGCCTTGGGGATGAGTTCAGTTCCAGGCTTGAAGGGTGACTATGGGCCTCAGTCTTGGAAGAGGGGAGTACCATCAGTCTCTATCAGCCCACTAAGCCTGGTCTTTTCAATTATTTTGAGTTTTATTTCACATTTCTCTTCCACTCTACTACTATGATCCCTTTTGGAACAATCAGCAGTGGTAGATGAGCACCATTTAGTTCTTCTGATCTCCGAGTCACGGACTAATTATTGCCATGCATCTTTGTTTTCCGCTCTTTGTTTCAGATGGGGCGAGACCAATAGCTGCACCTTAGATGGCTACTCACAAGCTTCTAAGATCCCTGTCACTACTAACCTAAGTAAGATGCATAACATTTTCTTTGTGGACTGTGTTATACCAATTGATCTAGGTGTGCCCTGAGACTATGGTACTGAGTACCCAGGCCCAGTGACTCATTCTTTAAGGTGTTTGTTTATGGCTAAGAACTTTTCATAATCTTGTCTGTGTATGCTGTACTACACTCATGGGTATATTCACAGCATATGTAAATACACATGTGTAGTGTCCTCTGATCTTTCTCTCTCTCTCTCTATCTATATATATATATATATTCATGGATGTAGTCCTATTCACCTTCCTATCTCATTCAGATTGAGTGACTATCTATGTATGTACTCACAGATTATTGTTAGGACCATTTTGCAGGATAGTGTATGCAATCATATTCACCTTTGTTGCCTTCAGCTCTTGTGCTCCTCCATGTCTTCCTTTGCCCTGATCATTTTGTGCCAACCTCCTCCTTATTGTGTATTGCCTTTCCCTTCATCCAAGTTAACAGTACCTGCCTTCTAGTTCATTATTACCATTCCCTCCTACTAGCTGTGAGCTTTTTGGCAGCAGTTACCAGCCCTTTCTTACAGGAGAACATAAAATAAAAGAAATTATTGGAGTTACTGTGACTTGTGGTATAGTTTTGAACTATGTTGTGTCATAGGACAATAATGAAAATAGAAATACGCTTTGATCCTTTATTCAAGGGTCTGGTAGCTTGTAAAAACATGATTATGAATGAGAATACAAAATAGGACTTATAAATTGCTCCTGTCTTGCTCAATACAAATATGTCAAGCCTAGACATTAAGTATTTTTTAAAAAAATATTTACCTGAAATAGACATTCAGAATTGAAGTTCCCTTGAGGCAAATGTGTCAAATACA